CCTGCTTCTTGAGCCAGGCCGTCATTTCAGCTCCAAGGAACTCACCACCCCGGTCTGTCCTAATCCGCTTCACTACACACTCCGCCTGCTTCTCCACGAATGGCAGCCAATCGTCCCGTATCGTGGAGGCGGCGTGGTCCTTCTGCTTCAGCGGATACGCCCACATCAGCCTGCTCCAGTCATCCACAATTGTAAGAAAATACCGCTCCCCCTTGTGCCCTTGCACCGGCAGCGGCCCTACCAAGTCCATGTGGACCAGCTCCAAAGGCTTCTTGCTCCTGCCAGCCACACTATGGAAAGGGAAACGGGTGAACTTTGAAAGCAAACAGATTTCACAGTTGTCATCGGGTGGCTGTCCGTTCAGCTTCAGACCCTTAACGGCTCCATCCTTCTCCAGCTGCTTCAGCAAAGGCATTGCCACATGCCCTAAGCGCCGGTGTGCCGTTGCCCAATCTGTTTCCCCAGATCTGGCCGACACTTTCACACCAACCCCTCCAACGGCATTGCACTCCCCCTGGGATGCAGACCCCTCTCCAGCCTGCCCCCCACCATGCCACGCCAGGGCCGGCAGCTGCCACATAGATCTGTACACGTCCTTGCTCTCGTGCAGATCCCAAAGCACCCGATTGCCCAGCTTCCCCTTATAAGTGCGTGCCCCATCCGTGTTGGTGTTCACCCCAGCCTTGCCAAGCTTACGGAGGGAGATAAGGTTGGCCTTCAGGTCGGGGACGAAGAGAACGTCGTGCAGCACCACCGGCTTGCCATCCGCTCCCTTAAACGCAGCTCGTCCCGCACCAGCCACCTTCAACATGTGTCCAGAGGCGGAGCACACTTCATTGATCGGTGCAGCTCGTACTTCGTCCAGCAGGTCCTTGCGCGGCGTCATCGTCCAAGCAGCGCCTGTGTCCAACACCCAATAGTCTAGGGGGTGCAGCTCTGCTCCAACTTTGGCAGAGGCGTCTCCTTGCTCCCCCTTGTCTCCCACATGGAAGAATTGGCCCGCGGTGCGCTCCTTCTTCTTCTCCGCACCGCCGTTGCCCTTCGGGTTGTTGTCGGACGAATCAGCGACCATGTTGGCGCCGTTTTTCTGGTTCCTCCGCGCGCCGCCATCCTGGTGACGATTCTGGGGGGTCCATCCATCGGGTTTCTTATAGCACAAAAACCAGGGGTGCCCTTCCTTCTCACAATACCAGCAACTCCCTTTCATTTTGCCACCAGCACCCGACTTGCCCCCACGTCCAGATTTCGCACCGCGACCCCAACCGGTACCTCCTTGTTGGTCGTTGGAGTCGTCGTCTTTCTTTGCACCGCGTCCAGCACCACCGAAGCCACGTCCTCTGCCACGTCGGCTCCCTTGCATCCCGTAGCCGCTGCTGCCGTCGTCTCCACCCCTCAGTTGGCGGCGACGGAAGTCCTCCTCCAGAATCTTCGTCCGCACCCACTCGAGCGTCCACAAGCTCTGGTTCTGCGGCAGGCTCAATCCGCTCGTAAATTGAAGCCACGATTCTGGCAGCAGCGAGAGCATCTTCAAGCACTTGGTCTGCTCCGGGTAGGTGATTCCCGCGGTCGCCAACTTCGCGTAGAGGTCGCGCATCTTGTCCAGGACTGGTTGCACCGGCTCTCCCTCGCTCAGGCGCAACGCGGACAGCTCCCTCTCCAGCATCAACGTTGCGACAACGGAGGTCGGGGCGTGCAGCTCCTTCAACACGGTCCACGCCTTCGGACCGCATTCAACCTCCGGCAGCAGGTGCATGACGTGGTGACGCTGGTTCAGCTCCAAACTCTGCGACATCAAATAGTAGCCAGCCGAGGAGCGCTCGTCCCAATCTTCCTGCAGCGTGGGGTCACTCGGTCTAGGCTCCTCCCCAATCATTAGTTTCAGCAAACCGATCTGACGGAAATATAATTGCATTTTCCAGGCCCAATCATCATAGCCCTCACCATTGAACTTCTCGACGGTGAAATTCTTCAGCACCTCCTTGACAAGCGAGCCCTGGTTTGTTCGCGCTCCCCTTGGCGCTGAAAGACCAGAATCTTGGCTGCCGCTACGATCTTGGGCTGAAGATTCACCAGCTCCCGCCGAGGTGTTGCCCGCCATAGCTACCTATAACGAGGATCACTATAACGCAGCTCTGATACCAGCTTGTCGGTGTAAGGGCCTAATAAACTCAAGCTATTAGGACTTAATCAAACTTAAAACCTCTCCTCGGGGTCACCTCCAAGGGTCCCTGGGTGCCTGGTACAAGACCAGCCCCTATCCTCGGGTCCGAGTTTGTAGAGAGAGGGATCAAGAAGGACTTAGTCAAAACAGCAAGAGTATCTTGAACGTCGCGCAGCGTGCCGTGCAGACCGTCGGTCGGATTAAGCTGAGAATTCGCTATATCGAAGCTCGCTCCAAGAGCTTTAAAATGAGCCAAGTTGCCTCGCGAAAAGTTCTGCCATTACGAAGTTATGGCTCAGACGGTGTTTGCCTAGCATTAGAGTGCTAGCGTACTAGCGTTGACTCGGGTAGCATTCCGCCAACGAACCGCGTAGAAACGAAATTCCAGCGAGGAAGGAATTCGCATGAATCAATTGACTATATTCAGGTACAAACAGAGAAGGATTAAATAGTTCTAGCTAGCAAGGACCTTGGGAATCAACCTTGGAACAACCAGGGATGATCCCAAATAATTCCAAGCAACAGAACCAACCTGGCTGGACAAAATAGCAGGTGGTAGGTTGGTAAACAACCTCTGGTTCTGTTTTTCCAACCTGGGAAAACAACAACCAGGTTCAGGTTCTAAAAACAGAACCTGTTTTGTCTTTGCCCAACCAGCCAAATGCTGGTTCCGCTGGTTTCCCCTGGCCTTGTAGCATGCAGATACAGACAAACAGCATCCAACCTTCACCTAAATTGTACCCCTATAGTGCCTTCCCTGCTACACTATAGTTAACCAAACAAAACAGTACAATTTCGAGTTGGATAGAACTGAATCTGCGCAATCAACTCAACCGAACTGCAAAGCTTCCATCTTGGGTTCCTTTGCGAGCTCGTCCTTTCTGCTTGCACTGTTCATAGCGCGTACAATGTTGTGCCGAAGCGCACATTGCGCGAGTACCTGCAAATGCATCAAGCGAAAAATGCGAAAGCAAACAAAACACACGAACACACCATTCACACGCAAATGCATTCGCACACGCATACTCGTACAAACAGACGGCAGGATGTCGTGCAATGTGCATTTGCACCCAACATTGTTTGCGTTAGCAAAAAGGTCGACAGTGTGTGGTCCCCAATGCCTCTCCAGCAACCGGAACCAAGGGAGTTTCATTGAGTAGTCGTCGTTGTCTTTCAACTTAGAGAGTGCGTCTGCCTCCACGTTGACTGCGCGAGGGATCCATTCGATTGCTAACCGGATTTCGTTTGCCATGCAGTGTGCGATGATGGATTTGCACAGGAGGGTGAGCTCGGGTTGTCTGGAACCGCCTTTACGAAGGATGAAGAATACGCCTTGGTTGTCCACACGCATGAGCACATGGCGGCCTTGAATTCGGTTTGAGAATGTACGCAGGGCCCAGAGCACGCCTTCGAGCTCTCGGCGTGTGCTCGAGGTGGTGAGAAGCTCGTGTGGCATAGGGCTGCTGCCTTGCAGGTTTTCTCCGAGAAATGAAGCTAGGGTCGCACCCCAACTGTGGGCGCTTGCATCGACATGAGTCACTGTGTCGATGCTGTGGGGCATGTGAAATGGTGCCCCGTTAAACGATCAAAATTGTCAAGCCAGAAGTTGAGCTCGTCGCCGACCTCCGGTGTCAGGTGTGTTCTGGCATTCCATGACGGCGCCGTATTGATGAGTTTTAGGAGTTGGTGACTGAATGCCCGTGCCGTTCTACCAAGAGCCAGTGCCATGGAGGCGAGGATGCCGGTGACCCGTGCGATAATGCGGATTGGTATCCGCTGTCCACGCTCATAGGCGGTGAGAAGCACCCGGAGCGTGTGCATGAGTTGCGCTCGGCGTTCGGAACCGATGGCGAATTCCCGATTGAGTGTCCAACTCCATCCCGAGAAACTGCAGTTTCTGGGTCGGGGTGAGGTGCGATTTTTTCGCGTTGATAACAAGGCCCGACCCTCGTAGGTCCAGAATGCTTGCATTACATGTCGCGCGTGCATCCTCCTCCGAGTGGCAGAGGAATAAGATATCATCCACATACGGAATGACACGGGTGCCTTGCGCACACCATTTTCGAGCCAGTTGTTTGATCAACTGAGTGAAAAGGAAGGGCGCAGTTGCAAGGCCGAACGGTAACGACTTGAAGTAGTAATCTGTGCCGTCGAAGTGAAATCCCAGGAACTTCCAGCAGGACGGGTGGATATCGACGTGATGGTATCCGGACTTCAGGTCAATGGAGAACATCCAATCGCCCGGTTGTGCCAACTCGGCGACTCGCACCAGGCCTTCATATTTGAACTTTGGAATAACGAGGTATTGGTTGACTTTCCTCAAGTCTAAGATGAGGCGACACTTGTCGCGTTGCTCCACGACGTTGAGTGGACTAGTGCATGCCACAGCATTCGGGCCAGCTGCGACTGCTGCTGCACCGGACGAGAGCAAGTCGGAGATTGCCGAGCGTGTGAACTCGTTGTGCCGCTGTACACCGGCATGGTTCTTGTCGCGAAACGATGGTGGTGGCAATGCTTTCCAGGGGAGCCAGTATCCATTGGATATGACGGACAGGATGAGACTACTCTCGCACCATGAGCCCCACCAAGCGAAAGCTTGGCGTAGTCGACCCCCCATGGTGGTTACTTCCTTGTCGGTGATCACGTGCTCCATGGGTTTGCTCCATTCACCAAGTCGTGAGGAATAGGGGCCTGCCAACGTGGTTGGTTTGGGGCAACAAGAGTGGCGTGTCAACCCTTTCGGTTCGAACCACAAGGTACCCATTGCAAACAAGATAAACATAAGGGAGAACGTGCATTGTCAGACGACGTGAGTATGCGCCGCACTAGCCGACTTCCCTCATACTTGCATACGTCCAACGAGATGCTGCTGAGAGGGTGAGGGTGAGAGCAATGACATGCTTGCGGACCTATGCGGGTCGGGATGCTCCCCATAATGCTTGAGCAAGCCCTCTCGCTTGGTAGGCTTGGTTTCTTTTAACTCGCCTTCATTTGTGTTTGGTCCCTTCTTTCCCGCTCCCTCTCTCGCTCCCCTTCTCCCCCCCCCCCCCCCCCCCCCCCCCCCCCCCCCCCTCTTTTTTTTTTTAGACGCTGGGGGTATAAATTGCAGAGGCTCGTACTCCCCTTCACCTCTTTCCCTTCTTCTTCTTCTTCTTCTTTCTTCTTCTTCTTCTTCTTCTTCTTCTTCTTCTTCTTCTTCTTCTTCTTCTTCTTCTTCTTCTTCTTCTTCTTCTTCTTCTTCTTCTTCTTCTTCTTCTTCTTCTTCTTCTTCTTCTTCTTTTTGAACAATCACGAGCTCCGTTCATGCCATACCCAAGTATGTCGGTCACATTTTTCTCTCTTCTTTCTCGCCCCCATTGCTTATTTTTTTTTTTGGAGCTTCTCCATATTAGGATGCCCATTGGTCATGGTTCCCTCACTCGGGACGTGAAAAAAAAAATGCACCCTTGCATCCTCGGTGCTTTGTGTCCATCGTTGTTTGGTTGATGGAGGTGGTGTCAGGTCCCTTCCTTTCTCTCTCTCTCTCTCTCTCTCTCTCTCTCTCTCTCTCTCTCTCTCTCTCTCTCTCTCTCTCCCCCACTTTCTCCTCCTTTTTTTTTTTTTTTTTTGTCATGTCGTGGCTTGCGTGGGGACCGTGTACCACAAAGGCCAGCAGCCTGGGTTATACATCCAATATAATAATACAACTAGAGGCCACCCGGGCTCAACCGTGAATGCACACACACACACGCACACACTTTTTTTTTTTTTTTTTTTCAATGGCCTAGAGCAATCCTTGCCTCTAGCCTAGGCTGACCAGCCTACTCAAGGACCCCCTGGTCCTGCCCTGCCCTTCCACCAACTCCTTTTCAAAGCAAAACAAGGCGGAGTCCGCCTTGGAGCAATGAAAGGAGACGTGGCAAGGAGCACTCGGGCTCTCACACCACCGGTGCGGGCCCATTGCCCCCATGGCCTCCATGGGGACACGCGCTGGCCATGTGGCCCTGCTGGCCGCAGCGGAAGCAGGTACCCTTGAAGCCGCGGCAGCCGGTTCCTCCTCCCATGCCCTTTGGCATGAAGGCAACGGGTTCCCGAAAGAAAGAACGGTTTCCGCGAGGAGGGCCGGTCTTCATGCGCTTAAGCGCCGCCATATCCGCCACCGCCATCTTGAAGGAGTGCGAGGTAAGCACTGCTGTAGTCTTCAGCAGCTGGTAGCGTTCAGCGACGTCGAAGCCCGCGTGGTCGGCGACAACCAACACGTCAAAACGACGCTTGATAAGGTCTTGGGCTTGGCCGACGGTCTTGATCGCGTCGGTAGTGTCGCCGTTGCGGATTTTGTGCTCCACATGCACCAAGTAGATCTGGAGCGCTTCGAAGACCTCAGCCTGGTCGCGGACGCCTTTGCGGTTAAATGCGGCGGCCGCGGCCAAGGGGTGAGAAGAGGGGAGAGGGGGAAGGAGATCGTTAGGCAAATTCGAAATACGGATATTCGGCTCCTCACCCTCGTCGCTGTCGGAGTCGGAGTCGATGTCAGCAGGGGGAGCCGGTTCGTCTTCGACAGCGGGGGCCTTTCCTCTGTCGGCGCGAGTGGTTGCGGCGACACGTGCGGAAGAAGAAACGTTGTTGCGCACGTTTGAAGTCTTAGCGGATGCTGAAATTTCTTCGATTGTAGCTGTAGGCGCTTTTGCAGGAGTCGAGGCCTGCTTCTGGAGGAGCGCCAACAGTGCCGCGAGCTGGGAGGGCGAAAGATTCGCCGCCGCCCCGTCTGACGCGGTCGAATCCGTCGCCCTGCGTTTTGGGGGGGCGCGAGATCCACTCGGATCTGCAGCGGCAGCGGCAGGGGTGGCAACGAAATCGCCATCATTGCCGCCGCCTGCAGCCCCTCGAGCCTGCGTGTGGGTCGTGCGTGGCTGGGACAGTCGCGCGACTGTACCGCCCTCGCCGAGCAGCACGTCGACCCCCGTGTGGGTGCCTTCGGCGTGATTGTCGGCGGGGCGCTTCCTTTTCTCCGCGCTTGTTTCCCGAGGCGTTTTTTCAAGCCCCGTCGATGGACGCGCAGGCGAGTCCTTAGCCCCGGGGGTATTATTGTTGGTCGTCGCCATCGTCGATAAGTTCCGCTCGAGTATATCGGAGAGAAGCGTTGACGGGGAAGTGAAGCGAGGGAGAGTCTTGACCCTCGCCAGCTTGGACGAAAAATCTAGAAACTTGAAATTGAAAGTTCGAAATGAAAACGTGGGTGAAGGCCAAATGGCCTTCGCCCCCTCTTTTGTACCAAAAAGAGGGGAAGTAGCGGTTCGCCGAAGCCTTTGCTTTGGTAGAACTCGCTTCGCTATTCACAATACACAATTTTGAAAAGTGTTACACACTTTCAAAAATTTACATTTAGTTATTATAGGGTGGAATGAGTTGCTTTGAAGGGTACAACACTTTGTTTAGGTTAAAGCCAGTGGCCCAAATTGCGGACTACGCGGGTCAAGTTTTTAAAACTTGACGAAGTGGCCTGTCCAAGCTTTGAAAGGTAGCGCATGTGCAATTTGGGACTATCGAAGTCTGACACACCCACCCACCAGGGAAAAATTGAGGGGCTCGCTAGGTTTGACGAAAAAAAAAAAAAAAAAACGAATTGACGAAATCAGAAACACTCGTCATCGTTTCTAAAGCCCGCGGCCCAAATTGCGGGCCGCGCGGGTCAAGCTTTTAAAACTTGACGAACTAGTGTTTGCAAGGTTTGAAAAAAAGAGCGCCTGCAACTTGGGAATTTTGTGGACTGAACCAACTCCCATGGTGAAATACGAGGGCAGGCTGGGTTTCGCGAAAAAGACGGAAACAGCGAAATCGGAATATTTCGGCAAAACCCAGACCAGAAAAACCCCCTCGCGTCAACCTTTTAAAACGTGTGCAATTTTGGCTGCCGGCTTTAACTCTTTGTATCCTCTTGCCGATCATCCACCCAACGCAAATCGCTTGACATTGTTTTCTAGGCTACTTTTAAATGGTTTTTGAGTAGGTTATATGTTTCGCTTCCGCTCCCTCCCTTAGTTGCGCTCGAAGCGTCTGTCCCTTAGGCTCCGTTTCGTCGCTTTTAAAGGCCCCCGTGGGCCTCGATTTCATTCATTTAAAGGCCCCTGCGGGCTCGATTAGTCACGTTCAAGGGGCTAGGCGGGCCCTCGTTTCATTGCGCCCCTGCAGAGAAGCCCGCGCAACCCTGCAGAGCAGCGCGCGCCCCTGTAGAGCAGCCCGCGCCCCTGCAGAGTAGCGCGCGCCCCTGCAGAGCAGCCCGCGCCACCCTGCAGAGCTACGTGTGCCCCTGCAGAGCAGCGCGCGCCACTGCATTGCAGCCCGCGCCACCCTATAGAACAGCGCGCGCCCTCACAGAGCAGCCCGTACCACCCTGCAGAGCAGCGCGCGCTCCAGCATAGCAACGCGCACCCCTGTAGAGCAGCCCGCGCCACCCTGCAGAGTTGCGCGCGCCCCTGCAGAGCAGCGCGCGCCCCTGCAAAGCAGCCCGCGCCATCCTGTAGAGCTGCGCGCACCCCTGCAGAGCTGCGCGCGCCCCTGCATTGCAGCCCGCTCCACCCTGCAGAGCAGCACGCGCCCTTGCAGAGCAGCCGGTGCCACTGTGCAGAGCAACGCGCGCTCCTGCATAACAGCGCGCACCCCTGCAGAGCAGCCCGCGCCACCCTGCAGATAAGCCACTGCAGAGCAGTACACACCACCCAGTAAAGTACTCCATGGGCCTTCACAGCTGCTCACAGGCCTTCCCAGCTGCTCACAGCCCTTTCCCAGCCGCCACAGCGCACCATAACCGCCACTTCAACACCACGCCTACTACCATAGGCATCTCCAGTAGCGGCTGGCAGCCGAAGTTACGTCTACTGGCGCGGATTAGGGTTAGTACCCCGATGCTACAGGCGTTCCTAGCCCTGTTCGCTCCTCACTGCAGTCACTCCTAGCTCTAGCCGTTCTCAGTGCCGTTCTCATTCCGGATGATCTCAATCCAACCGTTTCAGCTCCAGCTGTTCTCGCTCTAGCCGCCGCTGTAGGTCCAGCCGTTTCAGCTCCAGCAGTTCTGGCTCGAGCCGTTCTCTTTTCAGCCTTTCTCGCTCCAGTCGTTTCAGCTCCAGCCATTCTCGCTCCAGCCATTCTAGTTCCAGCTGTTCTAGCTCCAGCCGTTCTAGGTCCAGCCCTTTAAGCTCCAGCTGTTCTAGGTCCAAACGTTTCAACTCCAGCCGTTTTGGCTCCACTCGCCTACACCCATTTCTCATTCCTCGCTCCAGCCGCTCCTCGTACCAGCCGTTCCTAGCCCGGTGGTCCTTGTTGTTTCTACCTCCAGCAGTTCCTAGTTCTTGCTACTTCTGCTCGAGTAGTTTTTCGCGCCTGTTGCCAAGCTATCCCTTTCCCATGGCGTCAACCCCGCCCTTACAGCAGCAGGGACCGCAACAATTTCAGCAGTGGCACCCTCAGCAGCAGTGGCACCCTCAGCACCAGTGGCGCCCTCAGCAGCAGTGGTGCTTTGAGCAGCCGTGGGGGCCTGGTGGCTCGGGTAGTGTTGGCTGCAGCAGCGGCCCAGCCAGTTGGGGGGTCCGTCGCTGTGGTCGCGATGTTGGCCCCTGCCAGTACCGGATCCTGACCGGCCCAGGTGCTGGCACTACCTGCTGGCTTCCTGACCACTCTGCACAGTGCTGCTACAGCTGCCTCGACGACGTCTACCATGAGCGTTTTGGGTATGAGTCGAGGCCACTAATCTGGCCCGGTCTGTCTCGTAATGGTTACCCAGTATTTGATATGTCTATGGATGTTGTTTATTCAGTCACGTATGATGTCTTCGCTTGCATGTATCTAGCTTAGGATCATTGTCTGTTCCTAGTGTAGGTACTTGTGCTTTTAGTGTAGGTGCTTATGTCGTCACTAATCAAGCCGTGACGACTGTTGTTGCATCGATCTCCTTCACGCTGGACTCAGGCGCGTCTCAGTGCTTCTTCCGCGACCACACTGCTGTCACACCTCTTCCAGCACCAGTCCCAGTTGCCCTGGTTGATCCTAGTTCAGGACTAGCAGGCGCTCCCAACTCGACCACTCTTCTGTGCCCGGCTGCCCCGTCTGGTCTCCTAACTAGTCTCTACATCCCCTCGTTCTCTCGGAACTTGGTGGGTGTTAGATACCTTCAAAACCGTGGGATCACAGTTACTTTTCCTGCACACGGGAGGACGACGATCTGTACGGACGCTTCCACCGGGACACTTCTTTCCACGTTCACCAGGAAGCCCCACTCAGGTCTCTTCGTTCTGCACACTGCGTCCCACCAGATAGCAGAGTCTGTCGAAGGAAATGGCCCCGCCCTTTCTTGAGCGTAGCTGATCTCGCTGTAGACGGGAAGTTCGCGACGGATCGGTCGACGAAATGGGCTTCTGCAGTTCGGCGGAAGTTGCGGTCGAGCAGGCTCTGCTCGACAGAATCTGGTCGACGAGCTCTG